ATAATAGTGAGGTGTCTCGTCGTGGCCCGGAGAGTAATAATCAAAATCAACTTGAGATGGCGGGTAAAAATGGCTCGGATACGGATAGGACGGCCCTCCATACGGATACATGCCTCATGGTAGTTGTCGGGGTATCCACGAGACGAGCTACCGGCATAAGCATAGCCATATGGATCCATCTGAGCTCCTCAAACGAAGTACCTCGCACAAGAAAAGCAAAACAACCAAGGCACACGAGACGAAGAAACGAAAAACACAAAAATAAAACTAAAACGACACAATATGTACAAGAACACACATAGCAAGAAGCAAGAGAAATAGAAACTAAGCAAATAATAAAGAGAAACACGTAAAATCAAGCAAAATCCACAAAAAGCAAGAGAAACACGGAAACAAACGACAAGTAGATAGCAAACTTGGCGTCCTACTCGCCTTCCCCGGCAACGGCGCCATTTTTTTTGTAGTATTTTTGAGCATGTGGTAACCAAGTTACCCGACTCGGGTCGTTCTCAAATGAAGGCTGTTCGGAGCTTCGTTTACTACCTAGTCATCAAAGTCACATAACTAAAAAGAAGGTCCTAAACATTCTACTCGCTTGATTGTGGGTGATTTGCACACAATTACACTAAAAATCTAGAGCAAATGATGAAAATGCAAGAATCGAAGGAATTGTCAAAGCATTGGTTGTACGAAATCTCCATAACTCAAGAAAATAAAAGAAAACAAGAGAAAACATGCGAGCATAGTGATCCTAGGTAATCTAACACGAGCTTTCTACACTAAATCATCACGCTTTGAACAAAGTTGAGACCTTTTTACTAGATAAGCACGTATTGATTCCTAACACACAAAAACAAGCAATAAAAATAAAGCAAAACCCTAGAAACGAGCATAAACACAAAATCGAAAGAACAAACTCGAAGTAGTAAGTCCTAAGTAAGGTACTTACTCTCTTATCGCTTGCCCGAACGAAAATAATGAATAAAGCTCGAAACTTGAATGAAAATAAGCTTGTCGGAATTTCGCCGAAAAAATAGAGTCATGGACCTCCTAACCAAAGCATAAAAAAGGAAAAGAGGGAGAAGAGAGAAAATAGAGAGGATTTCCCAACTTAAAAGTTGGGAAATGAGGGTTGTGTCCAAAAATACAAAGCACAATGTCTTTTTATAACTACACCTCAAACACACACTAAAAACACGCACATTTACTAAGACACTCTCGAGGTCGCGGGCGGTTGCGCGAGTCGCGGGCTTGTATGGCGCGGGGAGGCACGAGGCAAGGCTCGGTGTGGCGCGAGAAAAAAGAGTACTCTCGACCTCGCGGGTGAGCTCGCGGGCCCGGACGCATGCTATGCAGGACAATCATGAGGTCGCGGGCTGGTC